GCTATTCACAAAAGGGTTCACTTGCCTACACAGCTTACGGAAAACACAAGGGAATAAATAATTTATCTTGTCGGACAAATTTTCCTTCCCAGTAACGATCAGCTTGAATACATTCATCAGCACTCATTGAATGAATCCAAATGAAGGGAAGTCTATTCACTTCCACTACTGTATCTGGACCCATCTGAAAACAGAAAAAACGAAACCAATAAATGGGATTACATAATTTCACATATTTGCATGGAATGCAGAAAAATGAGAGTTTATTATACCTCCTGAAGGTCTTTTCCCTTCCATGGCTTCCTTCTTCTCCTGGCAGCTCGAGCAAAGAAAAGGACCATCCCAAGGCCGCACTTTTCTAGAATCAGCTGATCCGGCATGAACTGAAACACCTTCTCCAGGTTTTATCTCTACTTGGCAAACCGCACACATGAACAGCTTAAATATATTGCAGATTGGGTACTTTGAATCCAACCTAAAATCCAGTGCAACACATGAAATCAGTGAAATCTAAGCCTTTCTACTAGAGAGGTAGATATGAGATTCAAAAATTTAAATTATTTACATACCACATACAGATAAGAAACCAATTAGAATTACAATTAAATATGAATGGCCAGTTTGGTATACTACTATACAGGACTAGACAATACAATAGTCAAGATTATAACTTCTTTTTTCAAAATATTGTCCGAAACGTCCTTCATACATATTAGTAAGTTAAACATAGAACCATTCCCACCTTTCTGAAAGTGCAGCTGATCCTTCCTCAAAGAGTTCCTCCACCACATCTGGTTTGCAGTATTCTTCCTTGTCAACCTGAGACGATGACTCTGAAGATTTTTTACGAAACATAGACTTAAAGACTCCTTTCACTTGTTTCTTAGGTGGTGGTTGGGGAGGATTTGGCTTTTCTGGAAGTTGAATATCTATAACAATACAGGTTGTATCATCTCGAAGTCCTTTTACAGATAAGGCTTCCTGCAAGTGTGCGAAAATACTAAAATAAGACTGAATGTTTAAAAACATATCGATTGATATAAGGAATGCATCAAGAAATAAAAACTACCTTGACAATTTGTGAAGCTGCGGCATCTACTGGCATCCCTCGACAACACTCAAAAGCTATTTCTGCAGATAATGCATCCCAAACACCATCACTTGAGATAATAAGCCTGCCACCGGCTGATGACAGCTGCAGGTGATAAGATTTATGAAATTGCTTTAAAATCTTCCTCACAAACAATAACTGACAAATTGCATGAAAGATAGCTCCATAATTCTTAGTTTTCCATGGAAAAGTATTAAAACAACAGTAAAAAATTATCATCTTCTGATTCAGCAGGGAATTTATTTCTCTTGAACAATTTTACTAATCAAGCCAATTATGTTTTCCATTTCTTTCCGTGACCGTTGCTTTTATTTGTAAAATGTTTCAAGCCCTCTCTAACACATAATTAAATGTGTGGTATTGTTAGCTTTTATAATCTCAAAATATGAATGAAATAATAAAATAAAGGAATTTTACAATTCTTTTCTCCTAGAAAATGAAGTGAAAATATTGGTTGCAATAATACATTAACCATTTACGTAGAAAAATATAAAGTTTTTATAACTTTTGGACAAAATACCGAGCATCCATATTCATTTCCCAAAATTATTTCAACAAGGATTATAATGAAGAACTGAAAAATAAAAATTAGTCCCTCAAACATTAACATTGTACAGGTATCTTAACTATTTACATAGATAATATCTTACTGATTAATATTACAATAGATTAATTGAGATAGCTTGAATTCCCAAAGTTTCTATTCCTGTAATAAATTCTGCTTATCATATTTCAGTTTACAAGTCATCTTGTCAATATGCTTGAACAGCTCCTACTCCAATTTGCATTCGTAAAAGAGAAAAATCATTGGCAGTTCAAGATAGAAGAATTGTTTCAATACCGGAACTGAGTACTTCAAATTCGGGAAGCAAGATACAACTAGAAACAAACCTTCACTTGCTTTACGTAAGGAATGGGAACTATGTACTCTCCAACATCCATATCTCCAATAGATCGTGAAAGGCACAAGCCACCAGGCCAACATCTCAGAGGACCAATCTACAGTGAAATCAGTGAATTTTTAAGATTCTATGCGTACCAAAAACCCCAAGAAACAAAAATTCGACAGATTTTATGCTTATAGAAACCGCCATCTTGGTCTTCTCATCCCTTATCAGAGAAATAAAGAAGACATTTACTGCCTCTCCGTTTACAATTGAATGATATGGTTTGACTCACAATCGCATGGACAGTTTCCCACAGCCAGACTTATTATTAATTTACTTTCTTAATTTAAAAAATAAAATCTAAACAGCAGTGTAATATTTCTTATCTTTCTCATCCTAGATTTTTCCTTGCAAGGTAAATAAAATATGAAGGAAGTGCATTCCAAAAATCATCCAGTGGATAGAAGATTTTCATTTATGGAAGAGAGAAGTCCCTGTGCAACATCAACCCAACAGAATTATTTGTAAAACAAAACCACGTAGAACTTTACAAAGTTGTAAATATGTAAATATTTTGCATATCCAAAAATATATACTGTTTATTTTCTAGTATCAACCTTCCTGTGAGCAGATAAATAAATGCCAGGTTCCATGTGAATCAACAATCAGTCTAAACCATCATAAGAAGCTGTTTCGAATTCTTAATTATTGTTCAGTAATACGTAATTGGCATTCAAATTTAATGATTCCATTATTTAATAATGCTTTTGATCTGTTGTTCTTTCTTCTACAATAAGGAAAGAGTAGGCTTCTTTAAGAGGTGAGAGAAGATACCTCTGTGCCACCACCAGTATTAAGCCGACCAACCTCACCACCGCTTGATGTTATACGTTCCCTCCTGTTTAACCAATAACTAAAGAGTATAAGGTTGCCATGTCATGCATCAGATAATAAAATATAAGTTATATAACTTACTCTTCTTCATTGCATTCGAGTCTATGATCAGCTGACAGATAATATATTCCCCCTTCAGCAGATTCAAGTATGCAACGAGAATCACCAACTGATGCAACAGTTACCACCCATCCGTCAATTATTACAAAGGTGACTGTCGTTCCAGAAGTTTGAGCTGAACCACAGTCAACAAGATATGAGAATCTAATTTGCATACAACAGCGAGAGAGAGAGAGAGAGAGAGTTTTTGCAATGACAAGATCTAGGTAACTACAAACTGCAGGTATTAATTAAATTCAATCTATATCCTATTTAATTTCTTGAAGATTACAAGTAGAGCAAAACTCTGTAATACCCTCAATTTCACAGATGCAACTTGAGCAACAAAATATTCACAGATATGTGTAAGCATATGGCTATCATAGATCTGTAGAACTTAATATTCCCACCTTGTAATTTTAAAACAAAGAGAAAATGTAGAAAACAAAAATAAAATAATCACACGTCTGACTACTTAACCAAACACGTGACACAACATTTTTTTCTAACCTGCAAAATTTCATTTTCCTAAATTCAGGTTGCTACACATAAAATTAGATTGTATTAGCTTAAGCATAAAATATATTTAGAATGAATATCAAGAATCTTTGGACTCTGGGAAATAGACCCTTTTTTTTCATTTTGGCACTCCAATAGCACTTTTTGTACATATGGGATTAATCACATGAAAATGTTGAAAAGATTAAGATTCGGTGAATCACTGTTAACACTTCATCATATAAATCAAAAGACTGTAGCAATAGAAATCTTAATAATCTGCAAAACCTTTTCTTGACCCTCTCCCAAAACCAATGTCCCTTTCCATTTCAATCATTGATCTGCAACTGAGATCCTGCGGACATTTTTCAGTTTTTTCTAGACTAAGTGTGGTAATATACATAAAATTTGTTGAACTAATTGAATTGACACAATATCATTCACTTTTAATGAGAATTCTTCAGAATGAAATGTTTACCATATGTATTGCAATAATCGTGCTATGTCTAAGTGAATTGAACCTGGACTATTTTTACCTCTTTCTTGGAAATCTTTATCTGTTTTGACGAACCCAGCAACCAAAGCCCTTGGCAATGCGGCAACCCACTCATCCCTATTAAGATCCGTTGGAATAGCACCCAAGACATTGTTCAAGAGATTTTCCTTGGAATATATAGCAGCTGCAGATCCATTATGACCATCAAATAACTGCAGATAGATCAGAAAGAATATGACGTGTAAGAAAAGCAGCAAAGGACTTGATTTAAATGTAACTAGTACAAACAGAAAACAGATATTCAATATTTGGTTTCCAGCAAACGAGCAACTACACTGATTCCTCACACATTTCAATATCCACCGATCACTTTTCATGTGAAATATGTATAGAATGCATGAAACAAATGTGTAGATTGTGGGTGTGATCCAAATATTACAAATTAAAGTTAAAACCTGAAGAATGGTTCCTGTAACACAAAGTCAATGCCCAGGAGAACGATTAACTAGAAACAGAAGCTCTTCTCAATCCTCAACCACAATACTAGTTTTTTTATCACATAAATAAAGAGCCTGATATGTTAATCCGGAAACTTGTTGTATCAGTCCAGATGAAAATAGCATCCACTCAGCAAGAATAACATGATATAAAATGCTAAAGTCCAGGAAAAACTGCAGTTCCACAACTATAAATAGAAAACCACAATGACAAAATAGACTAAAACAAAGAGAAACACAATAAGATCATACCCCAAAAACAGAATATGTGGTGACTCCATCACCCAAGACCCGTTGGCATTCTGTCTTGAGGAACGTAAAGTCCTCGCCTTTCTTGCTCTGGCTGGCCTGGCCGTGCAAAATCTCAGGGTTCTCAAGCTTCTCATTAGCCAATTCCCGCTTTAACAACACTGATAATGGGACCGCCTGATGGTCACTACTCTTAGACAACATTGCTTCCTGTCCCAACAGCCCCAAAAGTTGATAATTTTCTTTCTTTTCTATCTTCGTCTCTCTTTTCACAGGATTTGGAAGATGCGGCCCATTATGTATTCAGTCTTCCAATTTCTTCTTGTAGCTGTTGACAATTGACTCAATCGACACAAATCCAATAAAATCCTATACATACAAACACAATATAAAAATGGAAGAACAAATCAGCATCCTAAAATAAACATAAACAAACAAACCCAAGCAATTACAACAAGGATGACAATTTAATTTATTCTATTTATATCAAAATAAAAAAACTATGAGCAATAATACAATCAAGATCCTCTCAAGCTATAACAATCAAGAAACAAACATGAACATAAACAAAAACAAATCTTCAACTCATAAAACAACATTACATATCTACATTAATAAATGAAATCTGATCTTAGCATAATGTGGATAAAACCAAAGTAGTAACAGATAAAGGGCCGAATCTGAAATTGAGAAAAAGGAATCTAGAAAAGAGAGAATAAACATACAATTTATAAAAACTTGCAAAAATGGTCTTTTAGTTGCAATCATCGAAACACACCGATTCTGGGTCTGCGTTTCAACGCTGCAAAAAAAAAAAAGTATAGAAAACAATTGTCGTGCGTTTTTGTCTGTTGAGATAACAGGAGAGGAGAAAGTGTGTTAATGTTAGAGAGAGAGAGACGAAGGTATAAATTATAATTGAAGGCGTCCGGCTATTTTTCTTTAATGCTATTTTTGGAGAATATATTTTTATTCGTGGATTTATGTTGTTTGTTACTTTCGTGTGTTGCTTGACAAATGACAATTGACATCTCCATTTAGCATTTTTCATAAAGATGGAATCTGAGCTGTAAAAAGGTTATGTGCATTTTTTCTTTGTGGGCTCCATTTCAATTGTCCTGCTTATCAAAATGATGAATTTGAGTATGACTTTAAATCAAAACAATTTATCAATCTTACCAAAAATGTGATAGAGTAACAGTATGGACACCAAATGAAAAATGAACGTCAAAGCAACGCCAAAAAGAAATGTATGCAAAGTCGAGGTAAGAATTGAACTCTTTGTCTTTAAGTCGAATTATACAACAACAATCTTCTTATATTAATAGCACTTCAAAATACAAGAACAACGAATCGAAAATTGAATTTTGTACTCTTTTTAAATGAAAAATGGAAAAATCAGCTTTTATGCAAAATTTAGGCTAAAAAAAGATTAATTTAATGTTATGCTATGATTGCATATCACTGGATGAACAAATGGACGTCTCAAGTGTCTAACTTATAGATAAGGAAAGGTTGTGCATGAAATGTCGTGCCCTAAACTCAGCAACCTATGTCAATGGCCGCAACTTTTGCTATCTCTAGCATGTCACTCTTGCATCGCTCGAGCTTCAGAAATAGAGACTATGTCGCTCGTCTGTCGCTCGAGTGCTAAGCGAACGATGAAGTTTGACAAATTTTCAGTCAGTTTCCTCTCTTTTCTTTCAACTTTAGACTGTAATTTTTCCTTCACCCGAAATTGGTTTGGGGATTCCAATATACCACGACGAGTAGAACAAGTTAGTCTATTTATTTTCATAATTTGACTATCAGATCTAGTTCGAATATTTTGTCGAAGTTGACACGAAATTCACTTTTTCATGGTTTAATACTTAACCAATTCCAACATGTCCTAGATATCCATCTAAGTGACACTACTATTCTGTTTGATTTGGATAAAAATTAATAAAATTATGGTTTCCATCAAATGTATGATCGAAAACGAATTTAGAGAAAAATAAATTTTAAGAAATGAAGTTCAAAAGACTACATGTTATTACATGATGAGTTTCTCTTGTCATCAATGCTAACAAAATGGTCGACCAAGATTATAGCATTTGCGAAGACACTCCATTGCAGCAATACACGAAACAAATAGAGCTCTCGATGTCGTCTCGTTAAATGACGTTCACACCAATCAATGTATCAATTGATTTTGAGCTTCACGTGTGTAGGAACAATATCCTCCAATAAGCTAATGTAATAGAAGGTGTGGTTCGTTTTCGTGCTCATCTAAATCAACTTATGTTGATATTAAATTCTCACAAACATTTAGTAGTACAAGAAACCTATAAATCAAAATCTAAGTATTGCTATAATTAAATACGCCATACCACTTCAAGTCTTTTGATTCACAAGAACTTGTAATGAAGTTTTTTGCCACATTTTTCCTGCCTAACGAAAAATTATTTCATAAAATTCATATTAAAAACCTATGTTTTTTGGTGATACGAATAGACTAGCAATGAAAAAGATAAATTAAGGTGGACCCTACCAATCCATATTTTAAATCCTATAAAATTAAGCCGACTTTAGTCGGCCAATCACAAATCCATAATTTGCATGCAACTTCTCATCCCCGCTGTTTAACGTGGAGGCTACTCGTCAAATCCCAAAGGATCTCTATGTTGTTTCAAATATTTACAAAAATAGTCCTCAATCTTTCACAAATGAAGTATGTAAGTGTCTAATTAATTTTTTTTTAATTGATTTTTAAGTTCATAAACTTTTATCCTCAATGACAATGTATATTGGTCTCTATTACACAATGAAGACCGTTCCTTCTATCGGTGAATTGCCCTTAACTTGAGTTAATTTAATGGACTAGATTAGATCTATTAATTTTTTGAATGTGTTTGAATATAAGTATAGTAATTTTAAAAGGTTTTTGCCCCTGTTTGGTCCAGACAGATTTTAATCCAAGTCAAAGTCAAACAATCAATATTAACCACATTTTTCGTGGGTCCTACACTTTTCAACAGCTCATTTCAAAATTTTCTATCATAATCTACTAAAAATCTAATTTTAATTTCCACCAAACACCATCTTAATATCAATCTATCAGTGAATGTGAAGACCGTTCCTTCTATCAGTGAATTGCCCTTAACTTGAGTTAATTTAAGTTGTGATTATTTGTCAAATTTATTGATGAGAGGAACGGACATCTTACATAATATCACAATCTATTCAAACTCACGTGTGCGACACATGATGACGAATTTAAGGATTGTTTAAAGTACTTCTTTCGGTTTTATAGACCTATGAATGACATTTAAAAAAATAAAATAATTAATTGGACTTTAAATTATTGCATGTTACAAAGATTAATGATAAGGAAAAAAAAATAAAAAAGGATAAATAGAATGGAGTATAGATCTGGGAGGTGATATGCATCTACGTGGGTGTGGGCCTAGGCACCGTTTATCCTCTGTCTGCTACCTAATGCTTAGACCCCCCTCCGGTTGGAAGTTTAGTCTAATGCCTTCCGAAATCCCCGGCGTCATTTTTTATATTTCAGGAAATTCCAACCGCATGCCCAGCGCGTGTCAAATTCATCTCCTCTCGTTTGGCCGTGTTGTTGGGACATTACTTGGGCCCTGTTTGGGAGGAATTTAGATTTTTCTACAGTAAATCAATTCTCATTTTCAACCATACATTCTCCAATAAAATAATATTTTCCATCACATCAATAATTTTTTCTTCCTTTTCAACCATACATTTCCCATCATTTCACTATTCAAATCAATTCTCCCTCCAAAAATCCCTCCCAAACAAGCTCATTGTAGTACAACAAGTTATATTACAAGATAATCGAGCATTCCATTCAAATTACACGTTTAGTGTTTACAGTTCATTGATCTCTCTAGTCTCAACAATTAACTTAGATATTTGTCGTGGTAAAAATACAGTGAATTCTATATTGTGCTTGATCAAAATAAGTCGAAAAAGTTATTACTAAGTATACCTTTAATTTTTGAATAATATTATTTAGCACCAGTGGTGCTAGAACATCATTTTAAGTATTACCATGTAATGTGTTCAATAAAAGGTGGAATTATGTGACTCGCTTGATTGTTGCTATCAATTAATGACACTTAGCCTATATTTGGTAATCATTCTTTTAATTTTTTTCTCATACTCATTTTTAACTACATATTCTTATAATAAAATATTATTCATCTAAATTCAAAACTTTTTTCTACTTTTTAAACACACATTCTCTAAAAAAATTACTATTTAAAAACTCATTCTTTCCAAATAAATAGCTATCAAACGAGTTTTAAGAGTCATCTAAACTGATATAATGCAAGTGATGATAAGTAGCATTACTCTCAATTCATAGAAAGTCAGTTAAGAAACTTGGATTTGAACATTGACTAAAATTTCTCTTTCTTTTATTTGGATTTCCACAAATTAAAATAAACCTATATTTGAAGAATAAAATTTTGGGGGTGGTGAAGGTATAGGGGGCATGTGACAACATGTTGCATTTTCTATGAGTCCAGCTAATGTTCCCGCGTTGACAACCTGGCAGTCAATAAGATGCCACGCCAATTCCTTTAGAATAATTGGAGTGTCGTTTTACACTTTATCTTTAACCTTCGTTTCTTCACAAGGAAGACAATTTACCTCAAATCATTTCTTTTCAACATCTTCACTCTCTTAAAAAATCTTCACGACTTCACCCTAATAATGAATACCTAAGGTACAATAATAATAATAAAAAATATCAAGAGAGCAAAGTCTCGTATAATATTGGAAGATAGATGTCGTGTTCTGAACGAGCAGTAAGAAACTCAAAACTCAAGTAAATTAATCACCTTAAATGCTGTTGGAAACATGTCATTTTGTTGTCTTATTTAGTCTAGCACAGGGGCTGACCGGGGGGTGGCCTAGGGGGTCACATGCCCCCTAGCTTTTGAAGTTTTTTTTTTTTTAAATATGAAAAGATAGAAATCTAAAGCCCTGTCTCATTTCCCCCTTCTCCAGCTCTTCTCTTTCTCCCGTGTCCGACCCTCTCTCCCGTACGCCGCGACAGTCGACACCACAAGTCCACCACAAATCTGAGCTTAATTCTTCATTTCTCCTCTCCTCTCTCCTGTCTTCCGCAGTTCCAGACTCCTACAACAGTGGGTCAGTTCCGAACCACACACACTGAAAACCACACCACACACATTCCGAGCTCCGCCTGTTCCAATGTCCAAGCTCAGCGGCTCCGCTCGTCCTCTCTCGATCTCCCACGGCTGAAGGCACTCTCCTAGTGGCTGGTTGTCGCCCTGCTCCTGTGATAAGGTAAGTTCCGATTTTCCTCTCAAAATGAAAGTAATGGATTTAGGGATTGTGTTTTATGCTAGTAAGGTAAATGGCTGGTGAATGATGAATTTAGGCTATCAATGATATTGAGAAGATGTACGTAACACACATATGTGCTAATCTATGAAGTAATATTCTGCCCCTATTTGTCAAGTTACTGTGGATTCATATAATATTTAGAGATTTAGGGATTTTTGGAAATTGATAAGGATTTCTAATTAGGGCTTTTAGGGATTTTGACGAGACTTCATTTATTGAGAAGGCAATTGTGAAGCTATGAACTGTGGTTGAGATTTGAGAACCTGAGACTGAGACCATTATGGGCAATTGTGAATCTGTGATTGAGAACTTTGCTTGAGATCATTTATTGAGAAGACAATTGTGAACTTGCTAATTAATTGATTTAGGAATATTGAAACTTTCTTATCTCATGTGATTGATTTTTTTTATTTGTCTCAATTATGGACAAATACTTTAAACATAAATATATGTTTTCTTGTGATGAGCAAAATACCGATGAAATGAATATTTGAGACAAAAGTGATAAAAATAANGGAAGACAATTTACCTCAAATCATTTCTTTTCAACATCTTCACTCTCTTAAAAAATCTTCACGACTTCACCCTAATAATGAATACCTAAGGTACAATAACAATAATAATAATAATAATAATAATAATAATAATAATAATAAATATCAAGAGAGCAAAGTCTCGTATAATATTGGAAGATAGATGTCATGTTCTGAACGAGCAGTAAGAAACTCAAAACTCAAGTAAATTAATCACCTTAAATGCTGTTGGAAATATGTCATTTTGTTGTCTTATTTAGTCTAGCACAGGGGCGGACCGGGGGGTGGCCTAGGGGTCACATGCCCCCTAGCTTTTGAAGTTTTTTTTTTTTAAATATAAGAAAATAGAAATCTAAAGACGTGCCTCATTTCCCCTTTCTCTTTCTCTCGTGTCCGACACTCTCTCCCGTACGCTGCAACAGTCGACACCACAAGTCCACCACAAATCTGAGCTTAATTCTTCATTTCTGATCTCCTCTCTCCTGTCTTCCGCAGTTCCAGACTCCTACAACAGTGAGTCAGTTCTGAGCCACACACACTGAAAACCACACCACACACATTCCGAGCTCCGCCCGTTCCAATGTCCAAGCTCAGCGGCTCCGCTCGTTCTCTCTCAATCTCCCATGGCTGAAGGCACTCTCCTGGTGGCTGGTTGTCGCCCTGCTCCTGTGATGAGGTAAGTTCCGATTTTCCTCTCAAAATGAAAGTAATGAATTTAGGGGTTGTGTTTTATACTAGTAAGGTAAATGGCTGGTGAATGATGAATTTGAGCTATCAATGATATTGAGAAGATGTACGTAACACACATATGTGCTAATCTATGAAGTAATATTCTGCCCCTATTTGTCAAGTTACTGTAGATTCATATAATATTTAGAGATTTAGGGATTTTTGGAAATTGATAAGGATTTCTAATTAGGGCTTTTAGGGATTTCGACGAGACTTCATTTATTGAGAAGTCAATCGTGAAGCTGTAAACTGTGGTTGAGATTTGAGAACCTGAGACTGAGACCATTATGGGCAATTTTGAATCTGTGATTGAGAATTTTGCCTGAGATCATTTATTGAGAAGACAATTGTGAACTTGCTAATTAATTGATTTAGGATTATTGAAACTTTCTTATCTCATGTGATTGATTTTTTTTATTTGTCTCAGTTATGGACAAATACTTTAATCATAAATATATGTTTTCTTGTGATTAGCAAAATACCGATGAAATGAATATTTGAGACAAAAGTGATAAAAATAATGTTGATGTTGATGTTGTAGAAGTTGGGGATGTCGGAGGAGTCGGGATGTTGATGTTGCAAATCTTCTCGTCAATCCTGGATTGAGAGTCCCAATACAGAATTATGAGGTTAGTGATCGAAACGTGATTCGAAGAGTATATATGCAAAGATAGATGATTTTGTGTTTCGTAGTATGATGAGCATCCTACTTGGTTGGAATATAGTGTAGCGAAACATACAGTTTTTTGTTTTTACTGCTATCTTTTCAATTTGAGTGGTGGTTCCTTTCTTAAAGATGGATTCTCAAGTGGACGAGGTCTCAATCAAGAAACTACTCTTCAGCCTCCTGGTGATACACGTTGGGACTCTCACTATAATTGTTTAATTAACTTGATTGTCTTGTTTTCAACCACAGTCAATGTTGTTGAAAAGATTGCTACTGACATTACAAGTTCCGAAACAAGAGGTGATGCTTGTATTTAATTTGAGTTGATGTTAAAATTTGAATTTCCATTTTACCTACATCAAATGAAAAAGATTTTGGGATTTCAAATGAATTGTTGAAAGCATTACAAAAAAAAGATCAAGATATTATCAATGTCATGAGATTTGTGTAATTATGTAAACTACGGCTCCAAACGATGAGGGATGATAAATGAGATTCTTTTTTTGAAATTGTTTGTTTGT